GACATTTGTTTCTTTCGAAAACTTATTAGAGCCCAAGCACTTTAATGTAAAATATTAAGATATGATTATTGAAACCGACATTATATTAAATCGGTGGGAATGAAAGAAAAATATTTTAAGTTGGAAATTATGTTCTTGCATTTTGGTATTTAACTTCATTTTTAGTTTTTTTTCTCATATTCAGTTAATGTTAAGGTTAATAAACCTAAATGCACCAGATAAACGATTAGTTTATGACATCTGGCATTGGATTTATGTATTAGTTCATGCTCTTTTAAAGATATGTATTTAAGTCATTTATAGAAGCTTATACTTCGTTTATTTGTAAAGTATCTGACATCACTGATCAGTCTCAGGCAGTTATCTAAGATACGGTCTAGATTCAGTCTTAAGTGACCTATTTGATGTCGTTCACTCGTAGTGACTCAGTTTATTCACGTAACTATTTAAAGAGTATAAAATCAGATCATTCCTGTGACAAATGAATTGTTCTAGACATATTGATTATTTTTTACACCATATATTTGTCCTTCTTAATTTATTTAACGTTACGTTAGTCGTTTTTGTACAATTAATTATTAGTACTTGCCCATGTATTCTTTCACATACGTTTGCCTTTATATCTTTGAGGTGAAACCAAACCATACTAGCGCCCTTGAACTGATCAATTAGATTCAAGATGACGAATGTCGTAAGTATATATAATTTATACAAAGCAGTTATGAATACACCGTTTAGATTTTATGCTTTAACTAATTTGGATGATGAAACAATTATGGTATAGCAGCTCACTTGCAATTGAGTTTGTTGACATTTAATTTGGCTAAGCCCTTTTGTTAGCTTATTTAGCGGACAGAGTCATCCGTGCTATAACAACTTGTCTATATCTTTGTACCTTTATTATTATTGTGCATGTATGAAACATGTATGCTTGAACATTACTTACTTCCTACTCATATCTTCACTTTTCTAGCCTTAGTATTAGTCGCTTAATTGATTCGATGATTTACTCATTTCCCTATGTATATATATGTATATTTTAATCCTATTCATTTTGACTCGCTCATTCGACTCGCACGCTCACTCGCTTCCTCACTTGCTTTTCAACACTACTCTTTCATGCTTGCTTAGCGTACCTGCAATTTTGGAGAACTGTGTGGGGTGCAATAATAAACGTAATCAGCACTTCGTATTCGCCTTCTGATTAATACACCGTTGGGAGTTATTTAGTGTTGGTTATCAGGATGAATTGTATACGAAGTTTAAGAATTATATTGAATACCGACCATTCAGGATACGGAATAGAACATTACAGAACGCTATTTTGAGTGGGTTTCAAATAGAAAGACATAAACTCTTACTTAGGATAAGACAGTATATCCTACCTGAAACTATGTATAGGGGTGATGGGGGAGCCTATGGATGCTTTACAGGCACAGTTATTTCTATCAAATATCCGTTTATAAATGGTATTTTGTGAACCCTAGAAAGAGTGTATACAACAACAATTTTGAAGCTATGTGGTCAAGATTCAAGGACTACCTTCAACTATATAAAGGCTCCAGAGGAAGAATATTTGATGGTTACGTGGACGGATTTTTTTTGCCTCACTTATTATGATTTTCGTCCCAGTGAAATCTTTTCTGACCTCTATAAATTCATTTACCATTTTCAAACTATATATTCATTGTATTTTTTCATTTTCTCGCCATACATATTTCCTTTACATAATCTGCATTGTGATTGCGTCATATCTGATTGGGCGTTTTCAGGGTCACTCTCAGAACTCCTGAAGGTCATCAGTGTAGTTTTATTTCTGTGTTTCTCTTTTCAGTAGCACCGTTGTCTACTTGGGGTTATCCGTAATATCATTTACGAAATTAATTGTGGGATCTATATTTTAACCGGGTTGACCTGTGGCTACACAATATTTAGACGATCATTTCTAAATACTTCGTAATTTCACCACTATATACGTTAGGGATTATGTTAATCCATAGTTTGGAATTAGTTTTTTTTATGAAAAAGATCTTAACCAGGTATCATTAGATATGCCAATCAGCAAATCTTGATTGCTACTTTTCCATATATATTTATACATATATACTCAATTATACAGCTTCATTTACAATTTTCTCCTTTGACCAATTGGCTGTTTTGTAATATGTTATACATAATACAGTTATATAAAGTTTCTTTAAATGTTCAGTTTTTTACATGAATAAATTTTTAATTCATCCACCTAAATACCTTTCTGTGTCATCAAAATTTCTGATATTTACATTTACATAACTGGTTATTCTCAATTTAAATTACTGATTTTCTAAATTTTGCCGTAATATCAGTCAATTAAAGATATTTAAATTGACTCATGAATTCAACTATTAAAATTACTACAATCTCCACAAACCCCCATTCTGATAATAATCATCATGTACTGACTAGTGACTGGCTTCAAGATGTACTACTTGGGGTTCTAGTGAGAAGCTGTGACCAGTAGAGTTCAGCCGTATCTGTTGTGAGGCAGTCACTCACTGAAGACAGTGGTGGACGGTGGCGCAACTTCGTGAATTGGTTGAAGTTAGGAATGAAAACCGTTGGGTGCCGGCTCAGTGGTCCAGTAGTCAACCCTTCACTCACGAGACCGAAGGTTCTATGTTCGAATCCCACGAGTAGGTTCGTGGATGCGCACTGCTGAGGAGTCTCACACTCGGACGAAACGGCTGTTCAGTGCTTCCATGTTTTCCATGGTGGTCTGGCTTTAAATGACTCATGAATTCAACTATTATATATATGATTTATAAAAACCAGTTGGAAATACTTCGTACTTTTTTAAGCATAGCAACACCGCGTATGTTCCATGTTAGTACATTTCTTTGTTTTATGTATAATATTTAATCTGTTGTTATTGAAATGAAAACATTTGATAAGAAATATTTAGCGAATAGATAAATTTTATAATTTATTTGTTGATTTACTTATGCTTTTTTTATCACACAAAAGGTCACTGTCATATTAATTTTTGTTTTTTATAATTCCATCCATTTTACTTTTGTCCTTTTTGAGAGTATGACGTCAAAGTATTCTTCAACTATTCACGATCTAGTAGTCTATACTAACAAATAGTATAAAAAATCAAACTAGGAATAATAAGTTTTAATTCCTTATAAACATTTATGAAAGTTAAATCTTAATCGATAAACAACCTTGCATGTTGTCTTTCTATGATAATCATAAACTTTTCCGAACATTTGATTCCAGTTACTTCCGGTGTGTAGTAGAGGTGTAATCTTGTGCATTTCAATAATTTATTTTTTAACTTAGCATATAACAGAGAAAGCTGTTTCCATCATGATACTATGTCCATTGTCTGTGAGATAGGAAAGAATGGCGCAGCTTATAGACTTATTGACACCTTAGTCCAATCACCTGTGCACATGTTCTCGAATACGTAAGGATAACCCTCTCTGAGTACGGCTTATGTTACCAGCTCCTCTGGAGCAGTTTGACTGATAAACGTATATTGACAAACCAATTATTGCTACCTTATACTTGATTATCTGAATCATCATTGAGCCAGTTGGGTAATTAATATGCAATTTATCGAAAATGAAATTCGTTTTAGTGAATGTATAAGAATATTCCTCACTACATCACCTTCGAAATCTAGTCTTAGAGTATTTTCTTCTCAATCATAGCAGTCTGTGGCTTGTTTTCCAGTTCAATCATTTATTTATTTGTTCAATTTATAAATTATTTGTTTTGCAGTAGCATTACCTTTTATTCAAGTAACTTTTCTCCCACACTATTTTCAAGGTATATTCGTTAGTACATATTACAACCTTCATCTACTTTTCCTTTCATAGAGATCTATACTAGCTCTTCTATAACAAATTCTTAATTATACATTAATCTTCTTTTATTTCAAATCACCTTATCACCAAAATAAACACGACACACTATATCCCAATTTATACTTGTTATTTTATATTAGATTTTTTTATTGGCACTCATCATCCTTAGTCATTAACTATTGTTTTATCCTTTGTTGCATGATCTTTTTAATTTAACCAGTGATCCATTTCGTTAGTATTAATATTCATTAAATGTGTCGTTCACTGTTTTCATCTTATATTACTGATTTTAACCATATCATTTATGTAATGTAACACGATATTCATGTATTTATAACTATAAAGTCTAAAAGAGATATCAAATATGATTGTTCGTTGATAAATTGTGTGTTTATAATTTTCTGTGAGAATTTTTTCAAGTAACCACAATATTCAGTTTGTAAATGGTTACACTTTCAATGTTGATAGAGGAAGCATATAGGCTGATATTTTAAATATTCATAGGGATTTGTATTGTTCATTTCTTAACTTTCAGCAGTCTCGGCGAGACTATAATTTATGGACAACCTTTGAGCGACGCCAGACTGACCTTGAAAGTGTTCACCTAATAACCAGGATTAAATGGGGGCTGTAAACCTGCGTGAGGAATTGGAATTATGATTTACAGTTGATGATTGAGGTTAGAAATTAGATTTAGGGTTTTCATCACGAACTGACATAAGCTATAATGCCAAAACTTTATTTATCCGAATGAATGAGTGGATTTTGCGTCAAAATCCGAGACCTGTTATCTTATACGTGATTGGTTCGTTCATAAATTATAGTCTCGCCACAATCTCTATTGGTATTTATACATGTTTAGCGGATCTCCTTGATATAGCTTTCTTTTTGTTAAAAATTCTTGTGTTTTTGGCTAGTAGCTTAAAGTGGAACCGTGGATGAGCGCTTCATTTTATTTGGAACTAGTTAACTGAGTACATCATTATCTCATTCGTAGTGTCAGCACTGCGATTCAAACCTACTACCTTCCTATTTTCAATGTTCTGTTGGCATTACTATTTGTACAATCATACTTTATGTACTTTAATTACTTATTAAAACTCTACAATAGAGTAAATCAAATACCTATTTATCTGTTCTACTTAGGTTACCAAGGCAATGCAAGGTTCTAGGTATAGATGTTCCTGACTACTTCAAACAATGGATAAATTTAAAACAGGTTAGTTTATTCCAGTAACAATACACGTTTATTCTTTATTCTATTAAACCTTTAAACCGATAATCAGTAATGATTGTGATCTCTATATTAATACTGTATCCTTGATTACAATTCAGTATGTAATGTTACGTCAACTTCCTATTTTGTATACGTTATGGAAATTTAAAATGTATTAAGATGTTTTGGAACGGTGATTATTAGCCAGTGACCTCCATCCACGAATGCTTTTGACCAGTTTTGCCGTCATAACATACTTTTTGATTCCTCAATATGTTTTAGTCTCCAATCGTTTTTAAAAAGAAGAAAATAAATCAATTGTTGTGGTAGTTTTAGTTAAATTTTACAGCAGTCGACTTGACAATAGGTTGTTAACGTAAAAACTCACATGTACTTAAGATTATCATAAAAGAAGATGCATATTTATTACTTTTTCTGTTCTGGTTAACGAAACACAAATCTCTACTTATTTGGTATTATTTCCAGAAGTTCTCATTACTCTAAAGTCCCTTGCAACAATATCGAGTATTACTATCAACTTGTAATGTTTTTCTTTTTGCATTTTACAGAATAAAACTAATTTCAAAATCACCTGATTTTATCTGTATAAGATGTGATAAAATTTTGTAGACTTAGCAAAGCGAGTATTATTTTCTGGAAAAAACATGTGGATCAAACTTGTCAATATGATCACTTCGTATTCTTTACATACGAAACAGTATCATGTAAATATAAAAATTAACTGATCACTTTGCATATTATAGAGCGTTTTGTCTACATGTATATTTTTTGAGCACATTTTCAACTAACTTATCAAACTGGAGTCTTGGAGTAGTTATGACTGAGACAAGTTAAACTCAATCATTAAGATTTTTTACGTTTCTAGGAGATAAGTTAATACTATTAGTATTAAAGCAGGGAATAAGATAGTAGTTTAGTCAAGTAGATAATAGGGAGAATTACCTTATGCATAATATAATGAACAGTAACGTAAGGTCCAATAAAACTAAAGTAATAGAAGATAGTCATGGTTATATAAGAATACAACCTTTTCATTGATAAGTAAGTAGAGACAAACCGGACCAAGTGGATTGGCGGTTGTTTAGATTAATATTTTTGGCCGCTTTAGTTATGGATCATAACTAGCTCTTAATTATTAAATGTGTTCTTGTCCTATTTCGACCTTGAAGATAGATAATCAAAATACATCTCATTAACCAATAAAGGTACACTGTAATCGTCCTTGATTCATACATATTCTGTGATGACTAGAAACGTAACTAGGCGGCAGAAATCGCAATGATATAGTTAGCTTAAAATTTCATTAGCTAGCCACAATTTTAGTTGTTTTAATGTCTATAACTTGAATCCAGGTGCCCGTTGGTAGTTGTAAATAGATCAGTATCGAAAATTTAAACCCGTCTCATGGGTGGATTTATCAGTAAAAATAATATCAAATATTATATTTGTAGAGTTGGAAATTCGGATCGAGTAATAGATATTTCTTGGTTGTTTTATTATTTATCATTTCATTCGTAGCATCCTTTCACACAATGTATGGAAATACGATAGTTTATAAACTGCTTAATAATTTTTTTGGTTTCATAGGTATATTGCGATGTTATGGGTCAATTTCCATTCGGTATGATGTCCATGCTGTCGGGACTAAATATAAAACACACTGGTCGTCATCACAGTGGTATTGGTAATGTGTAGTATTGTCATCATTATTTTTATTTTTACTCACTTCATAGTCTTAGGAACTAAGTTAATCTTTATTTTTAGACCACCAGTGAAAGCCCGGGAGCACTGAAAGATCGTCTCATTTTAGCAGGAGACTCTTCATCGGTGAGTGCTGGACTTGAATGCTTAACCTCTAGACCACTGAGCCAGCATTTAACGGTGTTAATTCCTAACGTCAATCAATCCGCGATATTGTGCTACCATCTATATTGAATTTATTTTGAAACGGATTTGTTGAAAATATTTCTTTATTCATTATATGTGTACGTATGAGCGATGTCATCCGTATTGTTGGCTCGTACTAAGCTTTTATCTTAAAAGCAAATTCATAGCAGTTATTTGGTATTGTTGAATTCTCGGTAGCTCTTTAAAAAAGCCTATTTATGAAACTTAGATTATTACTATCAAATTCACCGCGATCTTTATCTTGATTCCGCTGTTGTTTTCATACTATTTTATTGTTACATGATAGAAAAATAAGTGATGTAAGTTTGTGAATCATTGTTTCTATTAGTTAATAAGTAGTCGATAAAAGTAAACTCGATACTATTTCTCAGAATTTCCTTTAAATGCAGGCTGAAAAATTTCATTCAATCAAAGGCGATGTAGGATTTTGCAAATCTCAACGATAATGTCTAAACCTATTGATTAGGTTCATTATAACCGTTAACGAATTCACAAACTGATATTACATCTTCACTTGACCGCCTTTAGATTTCTTACATCTTTTCTGATTGTCACTCACTTGATGACTGCATGATACATAAACAATGACATCTGCAATTGAATACTGGCAAACCGCGTTTGTATTTTATTACCATAGTCCATCTCACATAGCTATAAATTAATTAAACTAGACTCTTAAGTATTGTACATTTCTTAGTAGATATTTGTCCAGTCTAAAAATGTATTTCAATATCTTTGTTCACAGGAGTTAAACTATAAAGTTTTGAAAATTAGTACTCGTTTTATCAAGTTATTACTAAGTGCTTAAGTTGTCCGTTGTTGATATTAACGAATAAATTTTAATAAGCCATCGTTGACATCACTACATTCTGTATATATTGCCTCGATATAGCCATTTTTTACAAATCATTTAGACTAAGTGGTTTGTAGCTAAACGTTATTGGCTCTCTAGACTCAGTAGCTTAATAGGTATAGAATTGGTCATTTAAAGCGAAAGGTACTCTGTTCGAGCCCCATTATGAGCATCCGTACTGGGATGCAGGCACATCTAACCAACTAGTCAAAGACAAGACGAAAATAACTTCCTGGATTCGATTGCTAGCTATAGTTTATTTATTCTGCATAACTCGATGCTTATTTAGAATATATATTAGTATTTTTTCGCATTTTATTGTTATTGTTTTTGTGATTTCATTCTAGATGATTGTCATAATATCGCAAATATTTTATGTGAATTAATTCGATGTGGTGCTTCTCTAGATATTACTGGAAACATAAAATAGTGTATCTTGTTTCAACATATGTTGGTGGGTAATTAGTTTATTTTTTTCTGTCAGAAAATGTATATATTCCATCTTGCATGAAATATTCCATATTAAACCTGCGGATAAGATAGCATGCCATAATCAATACAAAATTTTGTGTGAAATGAATAACAGAATTCGATTCGGTTCCAAAAGATAAAATTATTATGCAAATGTAAATATCAAAAGTAATAAATATACAATCAAGTGTTAGATAAAGTGTTACTGTTACATTAAAGGTGTATGTGGAGGAATTTTCATGCATTCACATCAAGACATACAGAGTATTCTTACAGTATTAGAATTGAAAATATATGTTGCAATTAATAAGATATGATTACAGTATTAACTAGATTTAATATTATCGGCTTATGTACACACTCAAGAATATGACTATAGATTTACGTCACACTGGATACCAAAAGTTATCGGAAATTAAGTCGGCTACTGAATCCGATTAATTAGTGTGGATTAGTAATCGGGAGGAATTAGGACAAGAAAAAAATGAAGACACAATATACATAGATTTAACACTGTCTCCCCACTCACCAAAAAGGACGACATGACTTTCCCTACTTTCACTGAATAAGTAGAAGAAAATTATAGCATGACCGTTACTGGATCTCATTCTACACCATGTCTGATGACGTCTCAATCTACTGTATTGCACCACCTCTAGGATGCTGACCAGGGATTCGTGAAGGACCGACTGAGATGGTTGGGCCACGTATTACGTATGCTAACCGGGGTAGGGGATGGTTGGAAGAAAGTTAGGGGCGGCCAAACCAAAACGTGGCATCAGTGCCATGTTGGTAGATGCAGACTACTTGGTTGGGGTCCGCGTGACCAATGGTTGGAGACTCTTGGTGACATGGCTCAGAATCGATCACAATGGCGTCCGTGTATACACTAAGAGACTAAAATCACTTCATTCTTTCTGTCTACGAACTAATTCGTTATTCCTATACTATATCCTTATTGCAACCTTTGACCTAACCACTCCTATGAATCCGCTGTTCATCTTGCTGTGCTAATGAGGTATGGCAACCTGGACCGATGCACATATGTGCCTGGTCCTACGTTGTAGCTGACTGACTGACTGAAGGACCGACAAAAGTCAATCCTCTGCAGCTGTTTTTCGTAACTCAACACCATGTTATGCACTGCATACTACTTCACCTTTTCTGTACACTGTCGAACCTCTGCATTACTAACATGGTTTTGCCACTAAATGTCAGCGATCTCTCGGAGACAACGATGATGAAACACAGGAAGTTGTCTGGAACCCTCGATTCGGATAGGCAAGGTTTCACAAACAGCTCTCATTGACACATCGTGGGTCCGACCTTTTACAGCCAGACTAACCGTGGAGGCGCTAAAGATGACCAAGAATGACATCAGCCGCTCTGGCTTTCACCAGATGTAAATTGATATCGCCACTCACGCCACCACCAGCACTTACGCCATTACCTAGATACACGAACCTCTTGACTACTTCTATCTGTTCACTACCCAGGGTGAGTGCAAGATCAGGGTCCTGTCAGTCTTGTAAAAGTACTTTGCGCTTGGAAGGTGCAAAGCACATACCATACCTACGGACACTGATTGAAAACTAGTTAAGTGCGTAGTATGGCTTGGGTAACATCATACAGTAAGACACCATCATCCGTATAGTCAGGGTCGAAAAGTCTTTGTCCAGCCGACATCCATAACATCACTCTCTACATCCATCAGATCTGTTTTCAGAACGTCGTCGATAGCAAGCTTGACGAGGAATGGTAAGATTGGGTAACCCTGTCTAACCCCACTGCTCGAATGGAACAATGGAGAAAGGTGGTTGTATGCCCTCACTCTGCTTGAGGTGTTTGTATATAGGGCTTTTAGGATGTCAATAAACTTCTAACGCACACGCTTCTTCAATAGACAATCCCAGAGAACAGTCCTATCCAACGAATCAAAGGCAGCCCTGATATCAAGAAACACTACGATTGTTGGCCTTTGATATGTATGACGATGTCCTAACATTTGGCGGAGGGTGAAGATATGATCAATACATCCTCGCCCGGAACGAAACCCAGCCTGCTCCTCGCGGGTCAATCTTTCTCGGGTTTTGAACAACCTACGAAGTATGACGGAAGCCAATAGCTTGGACGCAATCGGAGGTAGACTTATCCCCCGATAGTTGTTACAGGAATGGTGTGAACCCTTTTTAATGATAGGGGCAACTATCGACTCATTCCATGGCGTTGGTACACCCTCTAGTTCCGACAGTTGCCAGATGCAGCTGATGCTTCTAATTCATTGCCATGATCCGACCACCAGGCTTCTTGGTCCTTACTCAGTCCCTGCCTAAATTCATTTCTTCGTTTGTGGTCATCTAGAGTAGACGACGGGTTCTAATGAGTTTTTAGGACCCTGAAAAAACCCAGTGCTCATAAGCAGGACGTTTTGCGAAGCCGGGAGCGAATTTATTCGCCGTCTCCATGGCGTCATAATTGCTATCAATGCCTGTCTATATTTTGCTGTCGGACAACAGCTAGTCTTGAACCTAGCTCGGTTCCACATCTAGTTTCGACAGAAGCTGCAACCAATTCGCTGACGTCAATCCGTTTAGGATGATGAATTTGTTGGCCACCAAAATAGTCCGTTTAGTTACTCCAAAAAAGCGGCGGTATTATACACAACGACACTGGTCGTGATGCGATCGACCTGAATCTAGGCTTGAGATGCAGTAGGACGCCAGGCAGCATATCGCTGACGACTGTGCCCGTAGTTAGTGCTAGCCGGTAACAGGTCTTAGTCTGCGCACAGTTGCAGTGGACACTCACCGTCACCCGACCTGCAACCAATAAGTTTCCATCAGTCACCTAGACGACTCTCCTCTGAGTCTAGACACACGAACTGCAGGAGCATAGGCGGAGACGACGTATAAACATGGTTCTTCACACCAATTTCTTCGTAATTTGATGGAGCTAACAGCACGTAGCCAACTGTTGATATGGGTCCGATCGGTCTGTACTGTCTCAACTCTAGCGTTTAGTGCGACACCAACGCCAGCAAAAACAGAGGAAGATTCCACGAGATCCCCGGAAGAACATATGTGAAACAAGATGTTGGAAGCGTCAGATGGGAGTGACTTTGTAGTACTTCACTAACGCCCTGAATATGGTTATGTGACAGAAAACAGACATTGATGCTGAAACTTTCCAAAGAGATAGTCAACCCTATCCGTTATCCCATACGCATTAGTACGCGGACGTTGATTGGGGCCAGTTTTGCTGGTTTAGAATTCGTAATCGATGAAAGCATTCAACTTTCGACTAGTCAGTGACTTGGGATCGTTTATAGGGCAAATTTTCTCCAACATAGGCGAGTTACTGTAGAATCTGAAGAATAAATGTAATATAACAAATGGAAATAAAGAAATGGACGAATGGTTTGATGTCAAATAAAAACGAGTATTAACAAATTGCTCTGAGTATAATTCGCATGAATGATAATTGAAACCTGAATAATTGCTCTCTGAGCTTTTGGCCTAGAGGTCGATCCGCTAGTCAGTGTACAAACGTTGATAGGTGTAGTCCCGTGGTAGATGATGGGCAACCATAAGTTCATGTATCATTTATTCCTTCTGGATTCCGAAGCCCATGCGCACCGATGGTTTGAAATCAGGGTCTTCCGACTCTTTCAGGTGGATCCTCCGTACCATCCAACCCGGATAAAATGAGAACATTCACTTCTCGTTCGCTAAATTTCGTGAATAACAGCACCACCATGAGAAGGCAGAATAGGACTTCCCCAACGGTGGCTATACGAATGACCATACGGAAGCGTTTCGAGAGAGAACAGATCCTCCCTACTCTCGTCCGTGCCTGGGTATCTGGCGTTATGAATTCGAGCGTATTGTATGACGATGAGGTGCTTCGTAAGATATCACCTTTCGGACGAAAGACCAGTTAAAGTTATGTCAGACGAAAAACAATGTGACTACGTTTTTCCGCGTATTTCTCTTTGTCGGCTCCATTGCTCCTCCACACCTGCTTGCTTGCTTCTGCCCATTCCTCCTGTGCTCATCCCTTTTTCGCCGTCGTTCGACTGTTCATTGCTTCTTTGATCTCTTCATAGTTGTCGTTCACAATAGTCTTTTCGTTCAGTAAACCGTGTAAAGCCTGGAACCTGCTGTTAGGAGTTATCTTGAATTCGTTGGGTTTGCCAGTATCTCGTAGGACAGTGTATTATGCCTATTTCATGCTGTTTTTCCAGATGTCCCATTGCTTAATCCCAGTTTCATCTTAACCATATCCAAGTGGTGGTCTGAAGCTATGTCAGCTCTTCTCCTGCTTCTCATGTCTTCTACTGACCTTGTGAATCTTTCAGCGATGCGATTATGATCGGTTTGGTTCTCAGCAGTGTGGTCCAGCGAGGTTCATATAGATTTGTCTGTGCGTTTGTCGAGGATCTGTGGTGTTGGAATGAACCAGTGCTATAAGGAAAGGTTGGAATGCTAATTTGAAACGGAGATTTCCTATCTATTTTTCAAAGCGGGATGAGTTATCTACTACTCCTGATGGTATTCTGTGTTTAAACGATCGTGTTGTCATTCCTCCTTCATTGCGTAAATCTGTTCTTGGTGATCTTCATAGTGGTCATTTAGGTGTTGAGAAAATGAAGTCCTTGGCAAGGCTCACATGCTGGTGGCCAGAGATAAATGCAGATATATGTCGTACGGCAAACAATTGTGAGAAATGTCATCAGTTGAAAAATCATCCTTCGAAGTGGGTGCCATGGCCAGTATCGTCTGAGGCCTGGCAGAGGATTCATGCTGACTATTGTGGACCATTTCTTGGTAAATACTACGCACTAGTAGTCATTGATTCTTTTTCAAAGTGGCCTGAACTTTTTTCACAACTTCACCAAATTCTGATTTCACAACACGAGCATTAAGAAAGGTGTTTAGTCGAGAAGGTGTTCCTTTGGTGTTGGTGACTGATAATGGCTCACATTTTGCTGCAGATGCAGTCACTACTTGGTTGAACGGTATAGGGTGCAAACATCTATTTACTGCTCCCAGACATCCGTGTTCTAATGGTCAGGCAGAGAATTTTGTTAGGACATTAAAGACTGCTATTGATTCTATAGCCCCCTCAACATTTAATGAGCTGGAGAGGGGAGTAGATACCTTTCTATTGCAATATAGAAATGCCAAACATTTTGTGACGAAGGAGACTTCAGCGAAGCTATTGAAAGGAAGAATTCTTCGGTCGAATATGAGATGTCTGGAGTCTGCAGAAGTTACATACTATCGAGGAAATGATCTTCGACCATCTACAGGTATTGTTCTGAAGAATGTCGGAAAATCGATTGTGCGAATTCTCGACATCGATAACTTAAGTACACACAGTCGACATGTAGATCAAATACAATTTCAGGAACCAGGTGAGTCAGTTCCAATTTCGATTGTGAATTCTAATGCTAATTAGCATATTCTAGATAATACAGAATCCTTACCCAATACAATGTCAGACAGACTCAGGATGAATTTGAGAAGAAGATGTACGATTGATTACAAACACCTAGACTCCAATTTAAGCTGTGGCGGATGTGGTGTTTGAATGAACCAATGATACCTTTGTACTGGTTGAATGTTTGATTTCGAATTCTAAATACAATACATTCGTTTGTGCCTGTGTCTTCTTAATTCAATTGCGTTAATCCTGGAATTCCTAATTCATACGACAATTAGAATACTATAGGATCATGGTGTCCTCAATAACTATTTTGTTGAAGACATATTAATTTGATTCTCCTCATTTCATTTCATCTCATGATATCTTCATAGCCGATCTGATCCACTTCGACTGTTGCTTCTAGGTCTCACATCAGCATGAGTAGTTCCTTTCCTAGGAACTTCTTTACCATTGACTTCAGCCTCTCATAAAACTTTTGTTTGTCATACTCGTGGCCATGATTAATAGATATATAACACTGGATGATATTCATTTTAATCCCTTGCTTCTTCTGATACATGCTTCAATGATCCAGATTCTCATTACATAAGCGCATTTTCATGCTTCATTTGACAGGATCAGTACAACTCCTTGTGTATGAGAACTACTTTGTTCTTCAAAACCAGAATACAATAGAAATTTGAATGAAGGTAGATATCTTTTACAAAGCTTGCATCCAACGAATTTTTATGTTCTGATTCATCCCCTTTTTATTAGTTAAGACTACTTAATAAGATTCAGAAACCGACCTCTTCTAATAACAATTGACATCAACTGTGATGTAAATATGGCATCATATAATATTCTTGAGTGCGTAGATGAAGTGATTGTATTCATTTTAGTTGTTATTAATATCACGTGTTTTCATTTGGGAGAGTCATTGTGGTGATTCCCAACAAAAAGAGCTTATAAACGGTATGTCGATACACAAGTTCGATAATAATATACCAAGAAAATTAATAGTAAAAACCATAAGTGTCTGTCTGTTAATAAAACCAAGGTAACAATATATAGTTAAAATGACAAAGGGTATATTAAACAAACAAATAACAATTATTATGAACTGAATGTTACTTGAAAGCTGCCTCATGAGAATAACAACCACAAATAAGTTCACTCGATTAACGAAGGTTCCTCTGCAAGTAATTGCACCAACGGCGTATTGAGAAAGATTGCGTCCAATAGTATTATAATATAATAATCTGTGCCAGGATTCCAACGTGGTGTAGGAAGGGCTAAAGGAATGTTATAACACCATTATAGTCTTCAATCAAAAACCGTGGTCAATAAAGGAGAAGAACAGACGGTGTAAATAGTGGTTTTTATTTTCAAACCACGCCGTAGTAAAATCATATATTATTCATCGAAACAATTATCATCGTTATTAAGAAGTAATACAGAAAAACAACAGATATTGAATAAAAATGTGGTTACATATAAAGTGTGACAAACTAGAGAGAAAATAAGGTTTTTATTACAAAAATCACTGAATATACGTCACCATATCATATTTTAATCTAGATAATCCATTGAACGTCAGTTTTATTGTATCATATTCTATTTTCAGTACTCCTGGTTCCGAGTTTGATACAGGTCGGTAAGATAAGATCGTCTCGAAGGATCTGCAGAAATATTTCTTTCTGTGAGAAGATAGCTGTGCACGGTTTTAATAAAGGTGACCATTAGCTCAGTACTGGTTGTGCAGACCCAAAATCCGGACTGGCATTGACAATATTTAGACCTGAAGCGCAAGTTCATTGAGGCGAAGTATACATAGCTGACCGATGTCGTCTACTTTGTCCTGGTTGTAGTGCTGAATCGGAAGGTACGCGCCCTTCGGGAGGATTGTGGTTAGCATCATCATCTTCATTCTGAAGACAACTCTCTGATCCCGATGCACTGCATTTACAACTCATCCCCCAGTTTTAGGGAAATTTCGGGTATTTCCACAAATTCATATGAAAATTTGTGGTTTTCCACAAAGTTTGAAGAGATTTTGGTGAAAATCCTGAAACCATAGGGTATGTTGGTGATCACTTCAAATTTAGAAGAAATTCCGAGGCAAACTCCAAAATTCGTGTAGTGCAGGTCTGTGGACGATAGATTGTTTGATGCTTGTACGACATAATTACGGTGAATTATGTTTGTTACATACCTACCTAGTTCACTGAGCATTCCAGCACCAGTGTTTTTTCCTTGTCTTAGTATTTCAAATAGATATGCGATAAGGAAGAGTATTTCCCATGCTACCTTGTCAAAAACCATTCTGCATGGACGCACCCATATGTCCATAAAACTTTAGAGTTGGGTCATCCGGTTGTTTTTTTTATACACTGTGCGTATACCACAGAAAGAATCTTCACTCACAGAAGTCCTATCACTTCATGTATTTCTTTCAGGTAGGTATCAAAATTTTTTAACTGGTAAATCTTCGCGACAACGTAGTACCATTTGAGATTCATCCTATATCATGCATCCTTACGATGGCGTAAGAATAGTAAGAAAGGCTCTTTTTTAGTCAGCCTTTGCTATTGTCTGCATTTCTTTTGATAAGTTTCATAATTTATGCAATTACCTTAATTCTAATTGACATTAAAATTGTTGTTTGAAAGAACTATGACCTTTGACTTCTCGTTCAGTTTTTGAAAACCTCTTCATGATTACGCTCAGGGACATATGTATATCTTGTTTTCAATTATCCACTGTTACTACAACAGAATTATAACATATTTGCTGTCTATATTTACGAGTCATGGTGTTATCATTACATTTGCGTACTATTTATGAGGTACATTGGTGTTTTTCCTCGTTGTGTTAAATTTACTGTTTTTGCTGTAAATTACGCATCTAAACTATTGTTTCCACTTTCACTGAATTTATCCCGGTTAGTGTGATATTGTTCTTGTGTGTATTGACTTTGCTTATGTGCATTTATTGCATCCAAGCACATTTGGTCGATTTTGACTTGATTTATTCTGTTAATGTTTGAAATATTTTCACATATCGATTTTTGTGTGACCATTCTTAGTTAATTTTCAAGGTGGTCAGCACTGCTCACAAATGTGAGCATTCATGTTGTCTACAGCCGTACTTGTCCGAAACGACTATTTCCGTACATTAATTGGAGTGATAGTATTCCTCCATTACTGTTACATAAAAAATCAGATTTACTAGCCTAACCAGACCCAGCGAAATCTCAGATTTTGCCAGTCTTTTTTATCAAAGTCCACTCTACGACACTTATCTCCTCTCATCCAAACGTTTAGAACGATGAGTGGAACTCTTTATGGAGCAGTTCAGCTGGCCTTCACTACTATACGACTACACACCATTCACAGACAGCGTGAATAGAACATTGAAGTCGGTCTAAGATCAAAAGGCTATTTTGTCTGAAATCTGGGGATCGGTCGTTATCCTATGCGACTAATCTCAACCACTTATTGTCCCAATATATAACAAGGGGTTAAGATCATCTTGTCGTAACCATAGAGGCATTTTGACTAATATAGCATATAAAATATTCGCTTCGATAACAATCGAACGCCTAACGAAGACTCATGAACTGCAAAATCAGGCTGGCTTCAGACCTGGTAGTGGCTGCATCGACCACATGTACACAGCGAGTGAGGTTCTAGAACACAGGCATGCTCATCGATTTCTGACAATGGTGGTTTTTCTTGACTTAAAAGCAGGATTTGACTCTGTTGATCGACGGGTTCTGTAGCAGTGTCTGTCATTGAAAGGCGTACCTCAGAAGTAAATAAACCTTGTGAAGGCTGCGAAACGTGGCTATTAATAGTAGAAGATACTCGTAAGTTGCTAGTATTTGATCTTAGATGTCTTGTAAATATTGCTCACATCTGTCGGGATCACCGGGTAAGTAATAGTGAGGTTAGACTCAGGGTATTAAGAAATGATGGTAAATCAGTTGGTGAGGTTGTGAATTTACATAGACTGAGATGATTAGGTCACGTGTTACGTATACCTGAACCCCGATTAACACGGCACGCATTGCTGACTAGTGTTGGGGATGGTTGGAAGAAAGTTAGAGGCGGCCGAACCAAAACGTGGCATCAGTGCATGAAGTCACTGACTTCTGGTCTGAGCCATGTTGGTAGATGCAAACTACTTGGTTGGGGTCCGTGTGACTATCGTAACCAACTGTTGCTTCATACCTTTATTTCTACGAACTAACTCTTTCTTCTTGTACTTAGTCCTTATACACAACCTTTCTTTTATATATTACTACCATTGAAGTAACTACTATGGATTTAGTGTTTATCTCGTGCTAATGATATGTGACCACTTGGCCCGATGCATATATGTTCCTGGTCCTACGTTGTAGCTGACTGACTGGTTGACTACATTTATTGTTAAAAATACTTGTCCTGATCACACCGCTGAGATACCAGCCATAGGAACTGCATATGTGACTGGGGAAACTGTTGTCCCATTGATCACTAACCTCAAACCTTGTAAGGTACCGGGCCCTGGTGGGTTACATCAACAACTTCTGTCATCTCCTGCGGACATTATTCCAATGCCACTCGCGATGCTCAACAACATATCCCGAAAGATTGGAAAGACGCTAGGATCAGTCCTATATTTATAGATGGTCAGAGACAGGTCATATATAACTACCGGCCTATCAGTCTAACCTGTACAATCGTTAAGTTATTTAAAAGGACAATTCGGGTTAAGTTACTATGCCACATAGATCTGTACAATCTTTTAACTCCTGAGCAACACCAGTTTTGAAACGAGCATTCATGCTTGACCAAGTTACTTATTGCGAGAGAGGATTGGGTGACAGCCCTACATAACAGTCTGTCTGTCGATGTGATATTCATAGAATTTAGCGAAGCGTTTGACAAGGTTTCATACTTAGGTCTTATGCTGAAGCTCTCTAGCTTCGGGATGACATGTGCTGTACAGGAATAGATAGGAAACTCCATATGTGTGTGCAGACAGAGAGTGAGAGTTGATGGGACGCTATCCGAATGGAAGCCGGTCAAACGTGGTGTAACCCAAGACACCGTTTTAATTCCCCTACTTTTTCTTCTCTACGTCAATGAGTTACCGCCATTACTTAAGTCGTCGACCTTATTGTTTGCAGATGATGTAAAAATCTGGAGAACAATAAGAAGTGAGTCTGATCATTTCGATCTTCAAGT